GCTACAAGTAAATGGCAAACTGTCACCATGATTTCATCAGGAACACAGTCCACAAACCGTGCGTACGGGTTTGACCGCACTGAGATGGATCTGAGGCTCTGAACCTTTAGCTCATTTCTTAGACTTGGTCTGAAGATCCATGCAGCCGAAGGGGCACCGCCCCAGCGCAGGCACTGCAGATCCGTTTGAGGGGATCTGGACTACCCAATCTTGAGGTCAATTTTGCACATGCGCGTCTGCAATCCGGACACCAGGTCCGCTTTACTCTTCAGACCTCGCGCCTCAGCCTGGCAGGGCCTGGCATGCTTGCACCACCCCCCACGCTTGAAAACAATGCGCAACAATCTGCAGCACTTGCACATGTAATCACTCACTCTCGCTATGCCCACCGCAGTACCAGCACCTTTGACTAGGGCCTAGGGCATACTTAGTCAGATGTTGAAGGTCAAGATATTCTGGGCATGATCTTAAAGAGCAAGTGGCCAGGGGTCTGGACAGTATGAGTTGGCCCCTCACGAAACTGTCAGAGGTTAGGACATTGTCAAACTACCAATCCAGATCCTGTTCATGTTTAGATTCACTTCCACCATCCCCGGCTCCAACCATGCTTCACAGTAACTGGTTACAGTCTGGAGCACCAACGCAGCGGGGTGTGCATGTTGCCCTGTGGTGCTCATCTAATGCCAGTGTTGAGCTTATGTGGCCGAACAAGGTTTGTGTAGGAAGCCTCGCCGCGGTGCATTTGAGTTTCAAAAGCTTGCGACGAAAGGCCCTGGACCGTAGACTTTTTTCGGAAGACTACGTTACGTCATTCTCGTGGCACGAATGGCTATTGGTTCCTCTGACAAAGCTAGGGGTGACGTCCAACAACCATACCCTCAATCCTGCACCTCATACAAGTTGGAGAGGGCCGCAAGTTTTGACAATGGCGCATGGGCAGCTCCCGTGCAGGACTTCAACCCTCCCCCGACAACACCGCTGGCAATTTGGATGGAAAATGACTTCTGAAAAATGACTCTGAGGGGTCACCCCAACCCTGCATACTTAAGCGTGAAAGGCGGACGTGCACATGCATGGGTTCACGAACAAAAATTCCGTTCTCCACGTGGTGACTATGTCTGGTTTCTGTCCTGGCAGTGGCACGGCGCGGTACCGGTGCACTCTTTATCAAACGATTTTACGTACGTTTGCAAGGATATCCACAGCCGCTCGCCTTTTGCATGGGCTCAAGAGGGATACGCGCAGGCATCAGTCTTTGCCAGGTGCAAGGCCCCATGAAATTTCCCGTCCTTAGGGACAGAAATGCCCTAAACACTCTTAGCTCGCAAGGAGCTCCACATGTGGTGGGGTACTATCCACCTTTCTGTCAGGAACCCCTTTCAGACGGATGGGGACGGTCAATAACAAAAGTGCCTGCAGGACTCGAGAAGCACAGAGCTGCAGCAGGTGTATTCATTAGTGTATTCTTATGAGTGCATGTCCCTTCCCAACTAAGCCACTGATGCAGAGGTCTTAGTCGGGGCAGCTTCAGCTTGGATGGGGTAGGTAGGTCAGTGCTGTCGCGAAGGCTGCAGCGCTATCCTCTGCTCTGGCAGGATACACAAGACCCAATCAGGGAACCAACGTAGGAGTGCCGCGGCCACCTTGCAGGCAACTTTCATAATGTTGCCTGCTGCGTCGGTTGCGAACATCCTTGTCATCTTTTTTTCAGACGCTGCGCGGATGCTGCTCGGGTCTCCAAGAAAACCCACCACTTGACATTATTGACCCTACCAACGCATCCCCTTTAATGATCATGACAACCACCCCCGACAAGATGATCTGGGAGTTCACGATTGAAATGAAGTGCGCAACATGCTAGGGTTGCGGGGAGCACACAATATGGATATGCTTGAGAAGAGGGCCATGCGAAGTAGAGGGCGTTATTGAGGTGGCAGGAAAGACTGCTTTGGTATGTTGCTGGACGTTCGAAAAAACTTGGGTAACTGGATGGAAGATTGAAAAGGAATCTAGGGGAATTGGTGGTTTCCGGTCTTCCAATTGTCACCACCAGTTCCACATCCTCAGTAGGGAAAGCTCTCACATAACACCTGTCCGAGCTGTCAACCCCTGCATCAGGATACCAACAATATGCCCGGCTGCTGAGTGTGACGAACATGTGCACAGTACTGCCACTACGGGAGCGATAGATATCGAATGTAGACCGGTCAGACCCCGCCTGCAGCAGTCTCTACGCGCCCCAATCGCCGTCTCCCTTTGGAGAAGGGTGGCCGGGAGATAGCCATGGTCAAGTGCGATCAAGCGAGGTCGGCATGCACATAGACAATGAAGGCCGGACAATGTGTTCGGCCCCTGCTCTGCTTAGCGGTGTCAATGCACAACAGGAAGCACAGCATTCATTCTCGGAGTGTAGGACTAGTGGGGCAGGCTTGGCTCGGAGTGCTTTGCCTTTGCTGGCGGCTGCGGGTTCAACAACCAGCTGCCGCCTGCCTGGGGTAGAAAGGGCAGCTACGGTATCTGCAAGTCTGCCAGGCAATGACTCAAAGCATGTAGCCTAGACCGATAGCACACCTCGGTCAACTGCGGTCATAGCTTAAATGCGTTGACACAGATCGAGGCTTTTGACAAAACTTGTTAGGTCCGGTCACGAGAGCGCACGCATTGGATTTCAGGTTTGATGGAGGTAAGGGCAAGAGGAGGATAGCAGGAGGCCACCTCAGTACGTACAACGCTTCAGAGGAACAGGCCCCTTTTGCAGCAACTTGCATACACAGCTGCTCTGCAAGGAAGCATCACTGTTTGAAATCTTCTGTCAGAACATGCTGTTCTGCGTCCAGCCTTATTTCTGAACACTAAGCAATCTGCCGAGGTTGGCTGAGGACTGGGGGCGGGGGGGGAGTTTGGAAGGGGGCCGGCATGGTCGGCATCGCTGCTCTGCCAAAGACCAGTGCCGAAAGTTGGAGCCATCTTTGCCCGGCTTCGTTGAACCGGCTCACTCATTGCAGTTGCAAGGAGCCGGTAGATCTAGATGATCTAGTCTCCCTGCCATGCATCGGCTGGCGAAAGAATGGTAGCTGGTGCACAAAATCTCGACCGACACGGGGTCGTTGGCAATACGACGCATCAGCCAAGGCAAACATTGTCAGGTGTCGAAAGCTCTATGGCCGAGCACAGCATCCAGGATGTTTCTTATGAGCCCAACATTCAACCTTGCACGGGCACGACAGCTGCTATGATTGGCGAAATTCCACAGGAGCTTCAAAATTCGATCACCTGAGACTCGGGCGTGATCCATCGCATGGGCAGGTCGGGATGAACACTCAGCATGGCCGACCTGACAGCGTGCTCTCAACATGCACCCTGCTCTAGACAATCATATGGATCATCACAGTACATCGCGCTGTTAGGGTTATCATGCCAGGAATTGTAAAAGTTGACGGAGGCGTCACATCAGAGCAGGATGAACCCTGCAGCAGAGTCGGACCTCAACAAAGTTTCGTCAGGACGAAATTGCCACATGCGCGGGAGGGAAGGTTGTTCACTCTTTGGGCACTTGCTGGAGCCGGACGAATCAGCCAATGAGCAGAGCTTGCTCCCTCTTGGCAAATGCCACTAGAGCGACAAGTGGGTACTTGAAAGCCGAGGCTGAGACCCTTCACTGGCAGGCTGTTTCTCCTCTATGTTTGGATGAGGCTGATGACAACACAAGGGCTGCCAGTCAAAGTTCACAAGTATCATGCCTTGACAATGAGGAACTGGTTACCAACCAGACCCAGACTTGAAAAGCTTGCCCGCTTGTAGAAGCTAATGCTGATCAGGGGCGAATTCCTACACCGCGCCAGCTAGGGGGTTAGCTGCTTAAATAAGCCCCTTCAGTGGCTCTGTACGGGAGCTGTTTTCTTGTTACTAGTTACTAGTATTACCATACAAGACTACAAGACTATATTACAGCCCCTATATCATACCCCTAAATAATAACTTTCGTTTTCTTTTCCAGTATCCCTATATGTTGATTACCATTATCACCATTACTATTACTATTACTACCGGCCCAGGGCTTCTTGGATCAACAGGTATTGTTTTTTGATTGGTGACTTCACGCAGCGCTTGCTTCTTAAAGACCACTCGTTACGGCCGAACAGGCGGAGACCATTGGAATTGGGGGCGTGCTGCTGATTGCTGATAAGAATATTACCAAGTTTGGGGATGGGAAGGTTACCAAGTTACAAGATACGAGATGCTAGGCCACAGCTGTGAAGCTGTGAAGTACCACGTTCCTCCGGCGCTGTACATGCACATGAAAGCAAAGGCAGTACAAATCATTGACGTAAACAAGACATCAGCCAAAACAGAAACACCGATAAGCCTTCAGGATAGAAACTACATGATTTCCTCGCAGGAGCAGATTTTGAAAGGGAATCCTGAACCTGAAGACTTGCCAACAAGCGTAACGCAACTGGATGCCCTGCATGATGGAATGCTCGCAAAGGATGGCCGCACAGAGGTTCCAAAGATCGCATGGTACGGATAGTTGATTGAATTACGAAGGATTCTGAATCTCTCAGGTGTCAAGAGCTCAGCGCTGGCTTACGGGAGCTCTGCGTCCATTTTTTCCACTCGCGGTCAACGAAACCGTGAGTCGCTTCTTGCTTAGGCGTAAGCAGCCTAGAGCAAAGAGTATATGAATCCTGTACATCATCTTGGGACTCGGCCAAAGATGTTTTGCGTGATGCAGTCAGCTTTGCTGTAACAAAAAGCTCTACATGTAGCAGGCTCACTGAATTAAAAAACGTATGAATGAGCCCCAGTGTTCCATGCCTTCATTCCCTATCCTGTAGCCCGCTTCTCAGTCAAAGCATGAACACCGAGTGCAGCGTCCACTCTGGAACGGCTGTCAAAGGTCTTCATGCTCCCAAAACTGTAATGCGCATCTGGTGTCAAACCCCTTTACAGAATGCTGCTTTTGCATGCTTTCGCAAAACAGCCGTGAATTCTTGGGGCTAGGTTGCCCGGGATTGCAATACTTGCAGAACTTTGCTGGGGATAGTCTCCTGGCGCGTGGCAGCGGGATAGTTTTCATCTGCAGCTTCTTGCTTTTTAGCCCTGTTGCACTCCTCACTCTCAAGCAAGTTGTAGTGCTCGTGCTCAGGGACATGCCTGGAGCTTTGGCTCTACTGGGATTGCATGATCATCCCCTCAATCCCCGAAATGCTTGCAAGCTTCACTATGTCCAGTTCCTTGTAGAAGTGCTTGTTGACCTACCCACGCTCAATCACAAGCATGGAAACCTCCATGCTACCCGATTAGCGAGGTAAAGCAAAGAAGGAGCTTTCGGAGTAATGAGGAGATGTGAGTCAGCGGAACCCCTTTTGGGCCTTTTCCTGGATATTTATGAGATAGTGTGCATGGGATCAAATCGACGAAAGTACACATGAGCACCGGCACCATTGCCTGCTTGAAAGCTTTCCCTACTGACTGATCTTGATTGATCTTGCAGATGCTGCCTCCATGCAGCAGGAAAACTCTCTGCTGTTGGAGACAAACAGCGTTGCTGCTGACAGCTTGCCAGGACAGTATGTATGCCGGTCGAAGAAGTTCGCACCGCTCTCATGCCTTAGGCGTGATCCCCACTGCTAAACGACGCTGCAAAGTATGGCAATGGACGTAATCTGTGTCCTTGCTCAACAACCAGAGCCTCGTCTTTCTTCTTCTTCCCAAGTCTTCGGAGAAAGGCAATTGCTGATATTAGCTATGGGCCATGGCTTGCTTCCGAAGTGCCCGGCTTCTGCTTTGGAGCTTTGCATCACAAGTTCTTCGTGAAAGCCTGAGTCAAGAGCATGCAAGATCTAAGCTTGCGTGAGCAGCCCGTACTTGTGTGTATCAACTGGCTGCAGGTGATCTGTCCCAAAATGTGAAATGCTGGCTTCTCTACATCTTTGGGTTTCAGAGGCCAACAGCTTATAAGTGTTGCCAGGAAGATGTGTTGCTTCTTGTACCATCTGGCCGGAAAACGAAGCACTGAGAAATTGCAGTTTAGGATGGCTCCCTGGCACAGCATGATGCAGAGTATCATGCCACCGGGTAATGGCTGGCGCGCCTATAGATGTCTTCAAACTCCGCAGGCAAGCATCCTACACAAACGTGCGCTCTGCACTCGAAAACTACAACATGCCCTGTCTGCAGGAGGACACGAGTTGCTAGAAGAAGATATTGACCCCTCATGGCCACATTTTTGTTCATTATTTGCATTGCTAAGAACCGGATTCATTAGTTCCCATCATTCTGGCTAGTGCCATCGCATGACAGATTTGCTCAGAGAGTTGCCCATGTTTGCTGCGAACTCGGTGATCATGTTGAAGTAGTGCTCCATGGGCAGGTTGTTCGGGCGAGCCTTACTTCTCCGTTCACAGGAACAGCTCCAACCTCCTTGTACTGTCTGACACCTTGTCAGATTTACGGGCAGTCCTGACTCCGACAGCTGATCATTCAGGAGTCCAGCAAAGATTCAGCACATTCAGCGCAAGGACTTATGTTGCTTTGGAACTTACATCCAATGCTCCCATTCGCCAACTCCGGTTGTGCTGGTCAGTGTGCCTTGGTCAGAACAAAGCCCTTGAGCTCATGCTCCCGCCTGCAGGCAGAGCAAGGAAGCTCTGAAATGCAAGTCAATGAAATACCAGGACATTGCTGACAAACTCTTTCAACTGCAGCCACTCTGCTGCGGCTGAGAACAATCGGCCTTTCTACATCTGCCACATCTTGCAATAAGATCCTTCCAGCAGACGTTTCAGGATCTGATGCCCCAACTCCGCTACACACAGGCGGTAGCATCTGTCCTGCAATACTTGGCATCCTCCCTGTGTGAAAACATGTGTCTCCTGCCGAGTACAGCGATGACTCGTGAAACTTGTTTGCTGGTTCCCGCTGCTTCCCTCGAGATCGGACAATTTCAATACACCATCTCTGTCTGTAAGTGGGCCACCGCCTTAGCAGATGCCGCCAATGGTATGCATGCTTTGGCACAGACTGCAGTAACCACAGGTGCTCAGTATTGCCCCCACCGATCCAGTAACTGCTGCATTGTGACGCAGAGTCCTGAGCAGGATTTTGTATGCCTCAGATGCGAGACTTGATGAATCTTACTATCGATTTGGTATGCTGCTCCTCCTAGCTAATGAGCTGTGCGAAGCTCTCAATGATGACATTCAGGCCACCAGCATTCATACTGCCTTTTCGATTGATGCCTACCGGCCGAGCCCTGGTCTTCTGCCATCACAATCGCCACTGGAACAGGACTGTAGGCTGCCATTGCAGGCTTTGCCGTCAGTTGAAACCAAGGGTTACACTATCCCCAACACACACACACACACACCCGCGCGCGCGCACACGCACACACACACACACACAAAAGTGAAGAAAGAGGAACACAAAGACAGCTCCAAAACATCCGCAAGCCAACCCACGCAAAGCCAAGAGTCCTCCAGTTCGGGACCCTCCCAGTTTCCCATTCGGCAGCGGTCCGTAAAGTCATCCGCGTTTACATTTGACATAAAGCGTTCGGGCGGGTATGCCACCTCAGGGCGCTTTGGATTGGAGGTCGCTGTGAGAGCTTACAAGTGCAACGCAGGCTAATAACAGTATACTATAGTATACTACAGTATACTATAACATACTACAGTATACGAAAATAATAATGCTAATCATATAATACAAGACAGCACCTCGAAGTCTCCCAGAAAGAGCGTCACCGCAACTCCTGGCTGAGTAGGTCTGTACTCTTGTTCAAGGGCAGGTTGTTCAGCGTCTGGTCAGAAGTGGGGTTGGCAACACACATTTATTCGATGGACCCTTTCCTTAGTGGATTTCAAAGAATTTCGGGGTTGGATTTATCTGATCATTGCTAAATTCATAGAGAGTTGAGTTCACATTTTCTATGATCCTAGTGTTCGACTGCGAGTAGCGCGATCATTGGCTTGGACGCCACCTGCGGAGGAAATGAGCAAGGCCAACAAAATTGAGGGTGTAACACGTGCTTGGCTGTCAGCCACAGCCAGACAGCAGAACACGAAGGGCAAAGATTTCAAAATACAGCACTACAGCATACTGTGGTATACTATAGTATACTGTAGTATACTACAGTATACTGTAGTGAACTATAGTATACTACAGTATACTATAATATACTTCATGTATAGTATACTACAGCTGACACTTGCCCAGGAAGCCAGCAGCGAAATCAGGCTGTCAAAACTATCAATCTTGAACGGGACCGGATATCAGCAAATATCGCAAAGCAATACAACGGCTTTCTTTAAACGATCTCACTACAAAAATCCTGCACTGGTTCATAAACATGGTAGCCAAGTAGATTTGATAGCTCCTTCGCTAGGAAACCAGACGTCACTGGGTCATCATGATCCTGAACCTTAGCCCCCTGGGTCATACACAATCAAGTCTCCTTTCTGCTCAAATAGCTCTGCCATTTTGTGCGCCACCATGGCCCCAAAGGAGTGCCCGTAGATGTTGTAGGTCTTGTAGCCGAATCCTCGATAAAGAAAAGCACATTCGTAGCACACGGGCTTTTTGACCGCTTGCCTGCCTGGAATGAGACTTAAACTGCAACCCCCAATCCGAAGCTGCGCAAGATGAGATCTCTCTTGGATTTGCAGCCTGCATGCCTTGACAGCCGCCTTGACATGCCAGAAACGTGTTGGTGCTGTCGTAGATTTCAAGGGTGCTCCCCTCACAACTGCCATCAGGAGGGTACAGTAACTTATCGCATTCCTGTCTGATGAGCACGTGGTGGTACATTTGGCATGTTGACAGGATGCTGTTGGAGTAAAAGCCAACAGCACGAGCACCAATGCCACCAGACCTGGAGTGGAGGTTCAGTTCATTGCTGCGGGCTGAGCATCGAGCCGTAAGTGTCGCAACATGCATCTGGGCCAGATCTTCCAGGTTTGAGCATGCCTCTCGTAGCTGCGGCGTCACCTGATGGAGTACAGCGCCAGCAACACAATTTCTCCATGAAATGGCAATCTGATTGGGGCAATTCCTTCTTCGGCTTACTTGCTCGAAACAGTATGCGCCCAACGGTTTATCTGCACAGGCCTTCAGCGCATACATTGCCACCTGCCCTGCCAACCTGCAGCCGACCATCACTCAACACTTATGAATCCAATGCGAACAGGCACGAGTGGAACAACATGGAGTTGCAAACCCAAGCACTGCGAAAGCTTCAGCAAACGTGATCCCATCAAGCTTCCCCCAAGCGACACGAATTGACTGGCCCTCAGGAGAAGAGCACCCTGCCCCGCTCACAATGGGCAAGCAAAGCAGGAAGTGACTCGCAGTCCATGCCAAATGCAACACAACCCGATCCTTGCCCAGGCTACTCAGTGAGTCAAGTTGGTCTGTCAACTGCTTTACTTTTCTCAGAACATGTCCATTCAAGAGTAATTCTGCAAATAACAGGCAATCCTAACTAGCTTGTGGATGTTTGGTCAAAAAACCAAAGTGTTCCACTGACTCCGAAATTCTACAGCGGAGTAGAGTGTGCTTACGTCATGCTCTCTTCATGCCCTTTGCCTTTTCGCCAAGGTCTTGAACTGCAGTGACAAGGGGTCGCCTTCCTTGAAAGCAATAGATTTTCAGCATCAAGCAAGCTCACGCTAGACGATCTATGTAGCGTGCTCTGGCCGTCAATCTTCAGAGCAGCACGGGCAAAAACTGGGAGCCTATGCTGGGTGAAGACTTGCAGCAACACCGATCATGCTTCACTGGCTCCGCAAACGTAATCGCTTGAATTCATACTGAAACGTATCCCTCTTGGCGCCCTGCCTCACTAGGAAGCATCCAGCCAACCCCCAATATGCTTGTTCATGTTCCTTTAGCTTATGCTTGTTGTCGTTGTTCTATTATCATTTCCAACTTCCAATACAGAAACAACCAGAAACCTAAACCCCATTTTTCTTGCACGTATAGGAAACCCTAATAAAAAGTACGATTCCGCATAATGATCCCATACTTCCTTGTAACACCACTTCCAGTTTCAGCCGGGGCCGGCCCCTCCCCCGCCCCGCTCCGTGCGAGCCTCCAAATCTCCGAAATATCAGACCAGGTGGTCCCAAAAGTTGTCCAGGATTGATAAACAAGAACTCGCGAAAGCTCCAAGCACCCAGCTTTGGTGATGTTCAGCCCCTGCCCGTACTTGCGCTATATGACGTCATGCCCATCTTAATCTTCACTGTGTTTTTAATGAGGCTCTTTTAACATCTAGCTGGGGATCCCTCTAGCTCTGTCAAGCATCAATACCATGAACTCCAATCAGCGTATTAGATGGACCTTCCGCTTCTAGTGGTGTGAGTGCTTGCAGCGTCCCCATCTCCTGCGGCACAGCACAGTCATGAGGTAGCAGTCTTTGTAACTTGTAACGACTGAAATCCAGGAACTGATGGGTCCTGGGGCACATCGGACAGTCGGCTGTGCAGAGTCTTCTGTTGCAGCTGTTGGGCGATACCAGCAACATTTGCCTGGATGCGTGTGCGCGGAAGCACGCGCCAGCCTTAACTTTTAAAACGGATAATCTACGTTCGAGTCGCATCCAGCGCAACATCGAGGAGGTCGCAGCGGCTGCAGAGCAAGCTCTTGAAAGTCGTCCACTGGAGCGAGTCCAGCTCCTTGTCTCAGCCACGCGAAATGGCCCACCAACTGACCAACTCTTCGTTAATATAAATATCAATTGAACATTAATAGTAACAGTAATAACGGCATGAGAAATATTGTAGGCAAAGGCCTGAAAGGGAATCGTGGATGCTCCGAACTCCTCGTCACTGTAGTCGACCTCCGGACCAGTCGAGAGAGAGGCATGATGCGACTGGGAAATCATCCCAAGCTCTGAACCTCCTTCAGGAGCTTCTGCACAAAAACCAGTGCCTTGGAGAGCTGTGATCTCATCCTAGACCCTCCATGTACCCTCTATAAACCCTAAATATCCACAATTAGGGTCCATATACCCCTACTTAAGGGTACAAGGAGGGTCCTGGATGATATCTCATGTGATCTCACTGCTTTTGACTGGGTCCCGGGCCTCGTTGAAGCTTGAAACGGGCACCAAGGATGCCTTCTCGGATTCCCAGTGCAGGCCAGGCTCCTCTGCTCACGTCAGTCACGTGAGCAACAAGCACTCGGATACTATATGAGCGGTGGTTTTTATTCTTATATAATTTCATTACAGAAACTACCCCTTCCGCGAAGCCCTTCCGCGAGTAGCGCTTGTAGTCTTTTTTGCTTCCGCCTTCCGCGGCTGCTTCCGCGAAGGTTTTTCGGCTGAATTTTGGGATCTGCTTCCGCGAAAGGGCTTCGAAGACTACGCAGGGATTTCCGCGCACGCTCATGA